GGTTGAAATGGATGTGTTCTATGATTCCTTCCAAATCTATATTTGATCCAGTGGTGGGATTCAATTTTTTTTTACGATCAGTTCTGTGGGTGTGGCTTGGTGGGCGTGGCATTGCTTAGTGGGCATGGCGTGGCTCGGGGGGCGTGGCAGGAGAAGGATACTGCAAAATCGCCATTCCCTCCCTGTCATGTTCTAAGCGTGCGCACTACAATCCGCCGTTCTGGCAGGAACACAGCAGCTGATTGGCTGGCTGTCAGACAGTTCGGTATAAAAGGGAGCTGTCAGGTGGAAACCACAGCTGTTAAAGGAATAAACTTGTTAGCCTTTATTCCTGTCTGCGCCTCAGTTATTTCGGCACCCACCCACAGGACACTCCCGATCAGCTGGGACTCGGGAGGCAGAGAATAGATGGGGGCAGGGCCAGTCAGAGGGGGTATTTACCGGTTCTCCGAACTACTCAAAATTTTCGCTACCAGTTCTCCAGAACTGGTCAGAACCTGCTGAATACCACCTCTGATCCTGGGGAGACCATACGGCTCACATTGAGAACTTCTGGTAGGGGTTGGAATAGATCACAGGTGATTTGCTACCGGTTCACACCGGTTCAGGCGAACTGATAGTGGAAATTGGGACTGAGTCGCCGACCCGGTAGAGATGGCAGGCTGGCCACGCCCCGAACTGGTTCCCTGGTCACCGCTGCTGTTGCTGGCTTGGTTTTTAATCCTTTTTTTTCATGTTCTGCGCAAGCGAAGCGTGCATGAAGCAAACCGGCAGCAACCTGCCCCTGGAATAGATGTTTTCTACGATTCCTTCCAACTCTATGATTTGCTCTTTATATGCTGTCATAACGATGTTTAATTTAAAAGAGCAATCAAATATCAATAAAGTTATAGTTAGTACAATGTTTCTCAAACTTGACAACATGTGGACTTTAATTCCTAGAATTCCCTAGCCAGCATCATGGCTGGTTGAGGAATGCTGGGAGTTTAAGTCCCCCTACTTTAAGGCTGCCATATTTGAGAAACACAGGATAGCATGTCTTTATCTTTAATCTAATTTCTTTTTGTTTTTATTTATGTGCCACTTTTCCATAATAGACTATTGGTATATTGTTTTGCTAATTCCACAGCCTTACTTAGATGCTACCATCCTTCCAGATACTGGAAGTGTTAAAACACAGCACATTTAAAAATGTTTCCTTTCAAAAATTAAGTGATTTTTTTTTTAAAGAAAAAAAGTAAGCAATCAAAAATAAGGCATGTTTGCAGATTTTGTCTTCATTTAATGCCATATCAGAGATATTTTTCCTTTTTGTTTCTATTCTGGGCAATGAGTTGCTTGTCAAAAGCACAGGAGAATCGTCACAAACACACGCACACACAAAAACACACACAAAAGAGGACAAAGGTAAAAGAAGAAAATCTCACTGACTCACTCGCATTCCTTTTTCTGAATAAGTTGGCTACGTCTAAGGTATCTGTCTGACCTTTGAAACTTTCATCATTTGAATGAATTATATATAGATTTACTTACATCACATACCCTCTCTGGAGCTATGGTGATTAAACATCCCATCTCAATACACGTTTAATTTTGGGTGCATCTGATCAGAACATTTATTGGGCATTGAAACTCTTTGTTGTTATTGTTTTTATCCTTGTTTCTCTTCCCATATGGGTTTCTTGAAAATACGTTTATTTCCATTTCATTCCATACAATCACATGTATACTGTGCATAACCGGGGCATATAACATTGAATAATAAACACAGTCCTCGCTTTTATAGACAATACCCCCCATAATACAAACCCAATATACCACCTTGACCCACCATACACCCTCTTTCACCACCCTCCAAATTTCATTCTTCCTTCCAACATACCCCTCTACCCCTCCCCCTCTATCACCCCCCTACAACTTTCATTTTTCCTTCCAACATACCCCTCTACTTCCTACTTCCCCTCCCCCTCTATCCCTCCTCTCTCT